CCGCCCCTCCACGGAGGTGGAGGGACGGTAGCCAACCCGGGAAGAACCAGCAGCAAACCCGGGGAGGGCCGAGCAGACAAAAGAACAGCGCAGGGTCCTGTGTCGTTCCTCCACGAAGAGGGGGAGCGACATAATGGTGCCGTGACTCGGATATGAAGCCTAGGCAGGGTTTAGTGTCGTTCCTCCACGAAGACGGGGAGCGACATAATGGTGCCGTGACTCGGATATGAAGCCTAGGCAGGGTCTAGTGTCGTTCCTCCATGAAGAGGGGGAGCGACATAATGGTGCCGTGACTCGGATATGAAGCCTAGGCAGGGTTTAGTGTCGTTCCTCCATGAAGAGGGGGAGCGACATAATGGTGCCGTGACTCGGATATGAAGCCTAGGCAGGGTTTAGTGTTGTTCCTCCACGAAGACGGGGAGCGACACACCACATAAATCTTTTTTTATGTGCTATTCGTCAACATTTTGTGAGTCCTATCAGGAGGTTCTTGGTACGGTTGTCATAGTCCCATAGGCCACCTGACTCATGTGGGTATAATGGGTCTATTTTTTGTGTTAGACTGGGACCAAAGCCCGTGGCTTCACAAAACTCATAATTATACTACAGGAATTCATACTAATCATGGTATAGCCCAGTGTTCTTGGGTAAAAAGTAATGATTCTGTATTCCTTGTGAAGGAGGCCTTTCTACTCCTCAACCTTGCTGCTTTAATTCTTCAGGCCCTCCAGTTTGGCGATTGGGTCACATTTTTTACAATCTTTCCTTTTGGCCCACTCAACAGTTCTATTACCCTTCATTTTTTGATCAATGCATCTTACCCAGTTTGAATCTGGACTCCACACCCTTATTTGTTTCATCTTGGAAATGTCTATATTATTTACAATCAGTTCCTATTCCAAATTTCATGTTCAAACTATTCATATGCTGCTTAGACACTTCACATTCCCATGTAAGTGTTCTCTCATTTTGATGTAAATCTTTTGTAATGTTATCAGTTAACCTCACTTGAGAATGCAGGCCTATACTATCATACCTTAGTAGTGTTACAGCAGGCCCTATCCAATTTAAGTACAACACATTTTCTGGGAATGCTCATTGCAGTATCATGGCATCAATCATAATTAATCATTACCTCTGTGACTGCTGCTCTGGTTGTCTTGACCCAATCTGTTTAGATGGCTTCTTACATCACTGATGCTATTGTTAACATAACTAAAGCCCTTACTATTCCATTTGATATTGCTAAGAAGATGCTAATGCAATTGCAATTAACTGAGTCTGCTATGGAATATATACAAATGCTCAAATTACAAGAAAATCTCCTATGTGATTGGCAACATAAGGCTATTTGCATTACTAAAACTCCCTGGAATAATTCCCTTCATACCTGGAAACAGATCAAACAACAGCTACAAGGCGCCAAGACAACGTTACCATGGATAGTCAATCCCTCACTACTGTCATACAACCAACTTTACAATCCTCTGCTGAAAAATATCAAAATACCCAATGATATCAAAATCTTCAATCTCATCTTTCTTGGCTGGACCTTAATGACATGGTTCTCTTCTACCTGGCATTCATTAATTGAAATTCTAGTTATTTTAATCCTTGTTCTCTTTTCCTTTTGTGTGGTCAGAGAAATTAGATTGAAAGCTTTGTCTCAACAACAACGACAAACCTGTATTTGGTTCATCAACCAACTTCTTATAGAAAAACAAAGGTGGAGATATGGGATTGGGTATCAGCAACAGGGCACCTTGTACTTGGTCTATGCCTGAAGAAATGAATGCCAGATTGTTCCAGCCCTTGCAAAAGTTTCTTCTGAGATCCCAGAGTTCAGACAAGCCATGATAATGTCAGCAAGTGGTCTCAGAAAACATTCTAAACATGCTGAGAGATAAAACTGCACTCTGTTTTCTCTAAGTTCCTGATTCTTGGCATATAACCTCCTTAATAAAATGTTCTGGGTTCTGGGTGCCTTCATATTGATAAAGTCCTCTGACCTTTCACTTCAATCCTGCACCCTGTTTTGTGTCTTCATTCCTACTACTGAAGGGTAGCTGACTTCCCCGATACCTAGAAATATGTACACTGATGCAGGTATGAATGAGGGGAACTAAGCACAAGAACAAATATCCCAGACTTCGGAAATATGACTATACTCCATTCCTTTCTAATTGTCTTAGCAGAATCATGATAGTAAACAACAGCCCAAGACTGAAGGTGAGGACTTCTCTAAAACATGTCCATGTGCCTCTGTTAGTCATCCTTAAGAAGTTAGTCCTAGGGCTGGCGCTGTGGCATAGCAGATAAAGCCGCCGCCTGCAGTGCCGGCATCCCATGTGGGCGCTGGTTCAAGTCCTGGCTGCTCCACTTCCAATCCAGTTCTCTGCTGTGGCCTGGGAAAGCAGTAGAAGATGGCCCAAGTCCTTGGGCCCCTGCACCCACATGGGAGACCCAGAAGATGCTCCTGGCTTCAGATCGGCACAGCTCCAGCCTTGCAGCCAACTGGGGAGTAAACCAGCAGATGGAAGACCTCTCTCTCTCTCTCTCTCTCTGCCTCTCCTTCTCTTTCTGTGTAACTCTGACTTTCAAATAAATAAATAAATCTTTAAAAAAAAAAAAAAAGAAGAAGAAGAAGAAGTTAGTCCTGGAGCAGGAAGTGGGAAGTGATGGGAAGGTAGGGAGGTTTTCTGCTCCCCGCTTCTTCTCTGGATCCAAAGGGCAGGAGTCCAGAAGCTCAGAGAAGCTCTTATGGTAAGAACATGAACACTTTTACCTACTTTGGAGCATGAGGCCGGTGTTGTAGTCTAGTGGGCTAAGCAGCTGAACATCATCCCATAGTGGAGTGCTGGTTAAGTCCTGGCTACTTTGCTTCTGATCAGCTCCTTGCTAATGAGCCTGGGAAGGCAGTGGAAGATGGCCCAAACGCTTGGGCTCCCGCTCATGTTGGCGACCAGGAGAGTTCCTGGCTCTTGACTTCAGCTTGTCCTCACCCTGGCTGTTGTGGCTATCTGGGGAGTGACCCAGTAGACAGAAGATCTCTCTCTGTCACTCTGCCTTTCAAATACAAAGAAACTAAATTTTAAAAAAAGTAAATATCTGGTTGCTCTGTCAAATTTTCACCACTATAATAAAAAACCGTAAGAAGATATTTATGAAGGAAAAAGATTTATTTTACCTCACAGTTTTAAAGGTTCACAGTCCAAGACCAGGCAGACCTATTGGTCTGGTGTCTGAGTATGGTAGATGGTGGACCATCTGCAGAGGAAAGATCACACGCAGGCCAGAAAGCATAGTCTACCATCTATGTGGTCTGTTTTGATAAAGCCAGCAGGATTTGATAATCTGGGTGCCCACCCTAACAACCTAATTCAATCTCATCACTTTCCAAGGCTCCACCCTCAGATGCTATAACCGGATTGAATTCCATTTAAAATTATTAACATAAGACTCTGAGAACCAAGCCCTTAATACATTGGCCTTTGGGTGACACCCAAACTATTACACAAACCATAACAGTTACCAATTATTCAAATTGAATTGAAAGATTAATGTTTGTATGTCTCCCATATTTGGAAAAACTCAGTGGCACTATTTCAAATATGTGACATTACAATTTTTTGCATTTATTATCATGCAGAATTAGTTTGATCCATATAACTTATGAACAAAAGGGAAGAATATATAGAGATGAAATTTAAAATGGAATATATAAATTGAAACTTGGGGAGTGAATCAGCAGATGGAAAATATCTCTGTCCCTCCCTCGCTCTGTAATTCTGCCTTTGAAATACGTAAGTCTTTTTGAAAAGTTTTTGCACTAAAATAAACATCTTTTCATCTCATTTTTCCAAGACCTCTTTGAAGTACCCTCATATATACTTAAATTTATTAATAATGAAGAATAACTGTGAGTGTAAACTGATAATAATGATAATGGATAGAAACTGTTGCATATAAAGTACTTATTTAATTGAGGGTTTTATGTGTTACTTATTTTATCCTCATACCTTATGAGATATCGTAATGTTAGTATCTTTCTTTTTTTTAAAGATTTATTTATTTATTTGCAAGTCAGAGTTACACAGAGAGAGGAGAGGCAGAGAGAGAGAGAGAGAGAGAGGTCTTCCATCTGATGGTTCACTCCCCAATTGGCCACAACGGCTGGAGCTGTGCCGATCCGAAGCCAGGAGCCAGGAGCTTCTTCTGGGTCTCCCACACGGGTGCAGGGGCCCAAGGACTTGGGCCATCTTCTACTGCTTTCCCAGGCCATAGCAGAGAGCTGGTTCTGAAGTGGAGCAGCCGGATCTCAAAACAGCGCCCATATGGGATGCCGGCGCTTCAGGCCGAGGCTTTAACCCGCCTCACCAAGGCATCGGCCCCCATCCCTATTTGTTTTAGATGTTGGTAACTGAGGTAGAGATCTGGCTTCAGATCCTTGAAGGTCCGGCCGTTGCGGCCATTTGGGAAGTGAACCAGAAGATGGAGGACCTCTCTCTCTCTCTCCGCCTCTGCTTCTCTGTAACTCGCCTTTCAAATAAATAAAATAAATCTTTTTTTAACAAAAGAAATGTACTTGGTTAGCTATATTTGCCAACATCTTATCTGCCTTTCCAGTCTTCCTTCACCTATAGCTGAGCAATTGTGTTTATACAGCCAGGTTAAAAAAAAAATTGTAACATTTAGAACAAAACATTTACTTATGGCCTAAGTTATTATCATAATCATTATTCACTTCGTCTTACTAGGTAGAATTAGAAAATGGAATTACCACTTTAAAACTACACGCTCGCTCTCAGGGCCCACCTCCTGCAGCTACGTTGCATTACGTCTGTTTTTGGACTTTCAGTTCCAGTATCACACCCGCTCTCCCCTCTTAGCCCGCAAACCTCCAAAGCCGCCCAGGCGCTCCGCCCCGCCCGCTCCCGGCCTGAGGCGGGAAGCACTGAAACTTGCCGCTGATTGGCTGGCTGGGGCGCAGCTTGATGGCGTAGCGCGGAAGAGCCGCTCTTCCGGGCGCCGGCCCCCGGGTGAAGGCCGCCTGTGGGAAGGGGCCGGTGGCCCCAGCGTGCGGTGGGCTTGGGGCGTTGTAAGTGGAGGCATGAGCCCTCCTTACGCTTCGCCATGAGTTTCCTGATCGACTCCAGCATTATGATTACCTCCCAGGTGCGTCACCGCCCTCCGCCACGGCACCCGTAAGCCTCCCTTTTCGGAATCGCCCTGCCCGGGCCTTGGCTGTACGGGCTGCCCGGGGATCTCGCCTGTGCTCGCCACACCGGTACCCAGAGCACTGGGAGGGGGTGTGGGATTTGCTGCGCCCGGTTCCCTCCGCCCTGGTTGTCGGAGGCTGCCCTGTGGCCGCCACCCCCGAGCTCTCCAGACCCCTCTTGGGGGAAGGTTCAGCTGGCCCCAGCACGGGCCGGTGCCCCGAGAAGGCAGAGGTCCCACAAGCTCCCCGAGCCTTCCCGACCGTGCCACCGAGCCGTGGCGTGGGCAGGCGGGTGGTTGCGGGCGCGGCCTGTGCGGCGCTCCAATCAGGGCGCGATACTGGGGACACGTGGGGGCTTTGCTGCTAATTGTCAATTCCTGAATCCGGGTGCTGCAGTATTTGCCGCCAGTACTTGAAGGTTTAAGGTTTCATTTGTGCGGTAACCTCTCTCATCCTTTGTCCTCTTGTTTGCCAAACATTCTTTGCGGAACATTCGCCCTTGTTGCTTCTTGATTTACCCTCATTTTTTATTGCAATCCACAAACGTTTGTGGGTCAATGTAAAGTTCTGAGGTACAAACATACAGGAGACACCTCCTCTCTAGAAGCTTCCTTGAGTGAGCCTCTTACCGTGTCTTCCGTTGTTACTCTGTTTTTTCTTCCTAGCATTTGTCACAGCACTGCTGTCATTCATGTATTTGTTTATGGATTTTATTTTTGAAGCTCTGTTTGGCCACAGCTGTGTATCCACTTTCAAGTGCAAGCACCAATAAGTAATTGCTGCCAACTGTTAACATTTGTGGAGCTCTGAATACTTAATTTGGCTTATAGGGCACCCATATGAGATGCCAGCACTGCAGGCGGCAGCTTTACCTGCTGCACCACAATGCCAGCACCATGACCATCTTTTTATTAAATTACTGTTATTCAAAAGAGAATTTTCAATCCAGAAGTCATTTTTCATAAAAGCAACTGTTATCTGCCACGTATGTTTTGAGCCCACCCACGATACAGTGATAAGACTTATCAGTTCCAGAGTATACTGTAAGTCTCAAGATTGAGGCTGTTCCCTGTACAATTCTCAAAGTAATTGTATTTTTAGAGTAAGAAGATGTATGACTTACGTTAATTTTCAAAGCTGTTTAAAATTGCTATTTCTTTTTTTTTCTTTTTTTTTTTTTGACAGACAGAGTGGACAGTGAGAGACAGAAAGGTCTTCCTTTGCCGTTGGTTCACCTTCCAATGGCCACTGCGGCCGGCGCACTGCGCTAATCCGATGGCAGGAGCCAGGTACTTATCCTGGTCTCCTATGCGAGTGCAGGGCCCAAGCACTGGGGCCATCCTCCACTGCCCTCCCGGGCCACAGCAGAGAGCTGGCCTGGAAGAGGAGCAACCGGGACTAGAACCCCGGTGTGCCGGTGCCGCAGGCGGAGGATTAGCCTATTGAGCCGTGGCGCTGGCCGCTATTTCTTTCTGTATATATATTAAATTCCTCTATAATTTTGTCAGAATTAAGATTTTTGCTTCTTTACCCTTCTTCGTCCAAAGTTTCATTTTGGGTTGTCTTGCTGATGTTTTTGTTTTGTTTTCATCTACATCATACATGCCACTCCTTATCTTAATTGCCCAGCTTCTCCACGTTCACTCAAGGTATCATCAGTTTTGAGAGTACTTTAAAATGTTTATAGAGGGGCCAGCACCGTGGCTCACTTGGTTAATCCTCCGCCTGTGGCACTGGCATCCCATCTAGTCCCGGTTGCTCCTCTTCCAGTCCAGCTCTCTGCTGTGGCCCGGGAAAGCAGTGGAGGATGGCCCAGGTGCTTGGGCCCCTGCACCTGCATGGGAGACCAGGAGGAAGCACGTTGCTCCTGGTTTCAGATCCGCACAGCGCTGGCCGTAGCGGCCATTCGGGGAGTGAACCAACGGAAGGAAGACCTTTCTCTCTGTCTCTCTCTCACTGTCTATATTTCTACCTGTCAAAAAAAAAATGTTTCGGCTGGCGCACCGCACTGATCCAAAGGTAGGAGCCAGGCGCTTCTCCTGGTCTCCCATGGGGTGCAGGGCCCAAGCACTTGGGCCATCCTCCACTGCACTCCCGGGCCACAGCAGAGAGCTGGCCTGGAAGAGGGGCAACCGGGACAGAATCCGGCGCCCTGACCAGGACTAGAACCCGGTGTGCCGGCGCCGCTAGGCGGAGGATTAGCTTAGTGAGCCGCGGCGCCGGCCATACATAGGCTTTTTTTATACTTTGCATTTTCAATGAACTTTTTGGGGTTTTGGGGTGTTTTTTAAAGATTTATTTATCTGTTTGAAAGAGTGACAGAGACAAGAGAGATGGATCTTCCATCTGCTGGTTCACTCTCCCAAATGGCTGCAACAGCCAGGGCTGGACCAGGCCAAAGTCAGGAGCCAGAAACTTCATCCTGGTCTCCCACATGGGTGGCAGGCACCCAAGTACTTGGACCATCATCCACTGCTTTGCAGGCACAGTAGCAGGAAGCTGGATTGGAAGCGAAGCAGCCAGAACTCAGACTGGCGCACCAATGTGAAAAGGCAGCATCACAAGCAGTGGCCCACCCCACTACACCACAATGCTAGCCGCAATTCTGTGAACTTTTTGAAGACCCCCGCAAATAAATATGACCTTTAAACTCTGAATCTAAATGTTTCCTGGTAAATGTTTATAACAGCCAAATGGTCTCCTTGATAGTCTAGGCGTATTTTCTCCTAATCTATTTGCCCTTTTCTAATTGATCAGGATTCATAGATCCAAAGTTCTTTCTCATCCCTCTTGTTCTTTTGTTTTCATATAAAAATCCACACTAAGATCACCATTATAGTTTGTCTACTCCCAATGCAGGGGTCTGAAGGCTGCTGTAGAAAACCACACAGCTGTGCAGGTCACCAGTGCCATGAGTTTAACCTTCAGCCCATTGGATCACTCTTTCTTGACTAATCAGCTACCTGTTCTCGTAGTTTCTCCCCTCATACTTTCTTTGATTCTCCATCACTCTACTCAGGCCCCCTTTTTTCAAGCTCACCTCTCTTACTACTACCAGAGTAACTTTTTTTTTTTTGGACAGGCAGAGTGGACAGTGAGAGAGACAGAGAGAAAGGTCTTCCTTTACCGTTGGTTCACCCCCACCAGTGGCCGCTGCAGCCCGCGCACCGCGCTGATCCGAAGCCAGGAGCCAGGTGCTTCTCCTGGTCTCCCATGTGGGTACAGGGCCCAAGCACTTGGGCCATCCTCCACTGCCCTCCCAGGCCACAGCAGAGAGCTGGGCAGAAAGAGGAACGACCAGGACAGAATCCGGCGCCCCGACTAGGACTAGAACCCAGGGTGCTGGCACTGCAGGCAGAGGATTAGCCTATTGAGCCGCGGCGCCGGCCACTTTTTTTTTTTTTTTTTAAGATTTATTTATTTTAAAGAGTTACAGGGACTGGTTCCTGCAGTGCCAGCATCCCATATGGGTGCCAGTTCATGTCCCAGCTGCTCCACTTCCTATTCAGCTCTCTGCTATGGCCTGGGAAAGCAGTGAAGGATGGCCCCAGTGCTTGGGCCCTGCACCCATGTGGGAAGACCAGAAGATGCTCCTGGCTTCGGATCAGCACAGCTCCGGCTGTTGCAGACAATTGGGGAATGAACTAGCAGATGGAAAACCTCTCTTTTCTCTCTCTCTCTGCCTCTCCTCCTCTCTCTGTGTAATTCTGACTTTCAAATAAATCTTTAAAAAATGTTACAGAAAAAAGTTACAGAAAAGGGGAGAGAGATCCTCCATTCACTGGTTCACTCCCGAATGTCTGCAGCAGCCAGGGCTGAGCCAGGCTGAAACTAGGAGCCAAGAATTTCATCCATATGTCCCTCATGGATGCAGGGGCCCAAACACTTGGGCCATCTTCCACTGTTTTCCCAGGCACATCAGCAGGGAGCTGCATCAGAAGTGGAGCAGCCAGGATTGGGTGCCAGTGCTGCAGGTGGTGGTTTAACCCAATGAGCGACAGTGTTGCCCCTTCTCAGGCCTTTAACATATCTAAAAATGAACTCTTCTCCATTTTCCATTCCCATTCCCAACCCTCCTCCTTCTCTAATATTCTTTACATTAATTGAGTGGCTTCATTCTTCATCTTGTTCTAAACTCTTCGTCCTTGACACTTCCCTGCTGCATTTACCTTCTGAATAGTTCTCATATCTGTTGCCTCCTCTTCTAACACCAATGTCTTAATTCAGGACCATATTTTCTCATCTGGACCTTTGCAACATCCTCTGATAATGTTTGTCTTCCTGCTATAGTGTTTTCTTCAGAAGTGGCTTCCACATAGCCTCATGGTGGTCTATGTAAGACAGATCTGACCATGTTATTTCCCTACTTATATGACCCAAATCACTTATAGACTAGAATCCAAGATTCTTTGGGTGACATTCAGGGCTCTCAGTGGTCTATTCATCTTTAGTCATATTTTTAACTACTACTTTGAATTTTATATTCCAGCTACAGCAAATTCTGTATTGTCCTATGTGTGTACTCTGCTATTTCTTATTCCTGTGCCTTTACTCAAGCTCTTTGCTGTCTGGAAAGCTGTTTTTCAACCTCCCACCACTTCTTTTACTGCCTAATTCTTATTTATCCTTTAAGAGAGTGGTTTTTAATATTTTAAGGACAGAAGTATGTCATCAGTATTTTAGAACTTCTGTTGAAAAATGTACATAATCCCAACTTTTTCTCACAAATCAGATTCTTTTTTAAGATTTATTTTATTTATTTGAAATACAGTGTTAGGAAGAGAAAGAGAGATCACCCATCCTCTGGTTCACTCCCCAAAATGGCCACTGCAATTGCCAGGGCTGGGCCAGGCCGAAGCCAGGAGCTTCTTCAGGTCTCCCGCTTGGGTAGCAGACACCCAAGCACTTGGGCCATCTTCTGCTGCCTTCCAGGTGCATTAGCAGGGAGCAAGATTGGAAGTGGAGTATCCAGGACTCTAACTGGCACCCATATGGTATACCAGCATTGAAGATGGCGGCTTAACCTATTATGCCACAGTTCTAGCCCCCCACAATTCAGATTTTCAATACCACATTAAAACTTTCATTTGGCATGGTGGTTAGGTCACTGCTTGGAAGGCCTACATCCCATATGGGGGTGCCTAGGTTTGAGTGTGGGTTACTCTGCTTTCAGTTCAGCTCTCTGCAAATGCTCCTGTTGAGTTCTGGGCTCTTGGCTTTTGGCCTGGCTCAGCCCTGGCTATTGTGAGCATTTGGGGAGCGAACCAGTAGGTAGAATATCTCTATCTGTTGCTATGTTCTCTCTGCCTTTCAAATAAAAATCAAAATAAGATTTTTTTTTTTTGACAGGCAGAGTAGACAGTGAGAGAGACAGACAGAAAGGTCTTCCTTTTACTGTTGGTTCACCTTCCAATGGCCACTGCGGCCAGCGCACCACACTGATCCAAAGCCAGGAGCCAGGTGCTTCTCCTGGTCTCCCATGTGGGTACAGGGCCCAAGCACTTGGGCCATCCTTCATTGCCCTCCTGGGCCACAGCAGAGAGCTGGCTTGGAAGAGGGGCAACTGGGATAGAATCCAGCGCCCCGACTGGGACTAGAACCCGGTGTGCCGGCACTGCAGGCGGAGGATTAGCCTAGTGAGCCGTGGCGCCGGCCAAAATAAGATATTTTTTAAATTCTCCTTCAGCTCAAATATCTCTTCCAGAAAATCTGTACAACCCACTACAAATTGATTTAGTCTCCCTCTGATAATGTTTTTACTGTAACATGTACATATTTCAGTCATTGTATATCCATATTACATTGTGATTATTTAGTGTCTTTACCACCATATATGAGCTCCTTGAAGGTAGTGACTGTATTCCTCATCTGTTCTCTTAGCTAGCCCAGCACATAGAAGTTAATACCAGATAGAAGTTAATACAAAAACTTGAGATTGAATATTGCTGACCATTTTAGCCATTCTGCAAACATTTATGGAAAGCTCACCCAGGCACTGCACTGGGTACTGAGGATACAAATATTACGATAGAGCTTATAATCTAATGTCTAAAAAAATTAAATTAGCTGTTACAAATGTATTTTTGCATGTATAAGGGAAGTAGGATTATATATTTTAAAAAGCAATTTCTCTTGCTTGGGAAGACAATAAAACCTTCCAGACGGAGTAACATAGAAGTTAGGACGTGTAGGATAAATGGGAAAGGGCTGGAGAGAAGTTTGTCAGAGGACAGCATCTACAGGGGTTTTAGTACATAGTAATGTATGCCGAAATAACCAAAACTCCATGTGGCTGAAAGTAAATTTGACAGACGGGAGGCACAGGCAGGGGAGGCTGGAGTAGTTTGTGCTAAACAGTGCTTAAGAGTTAACATTTGTTCTCAGAGTCAGGAGAAAGGCATAAAAGAGTTGATTCATAGTTACAGTTCCCAGCCAGTAGAAGAAGAAAAGAAGAGTTATGTCAGCGTGTATGTGTGTGTATATAGTTAGAAGGTTCTATTTACTAGTGGAAAAACGAACCAGCTTTGTCAGCTGTCATGTGGCTACTGTCTGTGATGCCAGTTTGAAACAAAACTGACAAAAGTGGATCCTGCAATCTGTTGGCTTTCCACCAAGATAGAAAGCACTTTATAGAGATTAGGCAGGATGGTGAAGAAGCTGGGAAAGCTCTCTGAAGGAAACACATAATGAAAAATATTAGTCTTTCTATTACTCCCTGATTTTTTTGTCCGATTTGTCTGATTTCTTTTCCTGTGAGGTTTCAACTTTTTAAATACTTGCAAACAAGGATTACTTAGAAGTAACAAGTTTCATTGACTCATTTTTTTATTTGCTAATTTCTGTGACTCACACAGTGATTATCACAAAACTATGGGAAAATATGTATGTACTTCCATGTTTGTCTAACTTAGAAACACATTTTGTTTTTTAAAGATTTATTTGTTTGAAAGGCAGCGTTACAGAGAGAGGGAAGGAGAGAGAGTTTTTCCATCTGCTGGTTCACTCCACAAATGGCTACAAGTGCCAGAGCTGAGCCAGTCTGGAGTCAGGAGCTTCTGGGTCTCCACGTGGGTGCAGGGGCCCAAGCACTTGGGCCATCCTCCGCTGCATTCCCTGGCACATTAGCAGGGAGCTGGATCGGAAGTGGAGCAGCCAGGTCTCGAACTGGTACACATATGAGATGCTGGTGTTACAGGTGGCTACTTAACCCACTACACCACAGCACCAGCCCCAGAAACACATGCTGTAGCACAGATAATTTTAAAAATCTAAGAGCATTTAAACATGTTTTCAGTGTTTGAACTTTAATGAGTAGCTGTTGTGAGTAGACCTCATATTTAATCTCTGAAATAAATTAACTGTCTAATTAGCAGACTTTAGTCATAAAATAGTTTCTTATAAGGCATTTCTCAAAAGATGTATTTTGACATTTTGTCTTTTTTTTCCCCTGCAGATACTTTTTTTTGGATTTGGGTGGCTTTTTTTCATGCGCCAATTGTTTAAGGACTATGAGGTAAGATGAAATCATTGTGTTATACTTTATGAATTTAGATTGTTTTAATATGAAACAAGAAAAATGCCTCCAGTAAAAAATGATCATGTTCACTGGCAAGACAGGAGTTTTGTCAAATGACTACTGGGTAACCATTAGATTGGAGAATATGATGAGGTTTTATTGATTTCAAAGAGGGAAAAAAAAAAGGCAAGTCCAATGTATTAGTCCAGAGTATGCATCAAATGGAAGATAGATATTTAGTAAACAATTCATTATAAAATCTTTTCATTTTCTGTCAAGTTCTGAATTAACCAATCTTACATTATACACTAACACCAAAATCCCAAAACTCTGATTCTTTTTTTTTTATTATTTTTTATTTTTTGACAGGCAGAGTGGACAGAGAGAGACAGAGAGAAAGGTCTTCCTTTGCCGTTGGTTCACCCTCCAATGGCCGCCGCGGCCAGCTTGCTGCGGCTGGTGCACCGCGCTGATCCGATGACAGGAGCCAGGTACTTATCCTGGTCTCCCATGGGGTGCAGGGCCCAAGGACTTGGGCCATCCTCCACTGTACTCCCTGGCCACAGCAGAGAGCTGGCCTGGAAGAGGGGCAACTGGGACAGAATCCGGCGCCCCGACCAGGACTTGAACCCGGTGTGCTGGCGCCGCAAGGCGGAGGATTAGCCTAATGAGCCGCGGCATTGGCCAAAACTCTGATTCTTATATTAAGCCTGGATTCCCCACCTTAAGAACAAGCATTTGGCTTAACTGTTAAGATGCCCAAGTCCCATATTGGTGTGGCTGGGTTTAAGTTCTCGTTCCAGCTCCCAATTCCAGATTCCTGCCGATGCAGACTCTGAGAGGCAGCAAGTAATCACTCAAGTGGTTAGATCCCTGCCACCCACATGGAAGAACTGGATTGAATTCCCAGCTCCCAAATTTGGCCTGGCCTAGTCCTGGCCATGGAGGTCATTTGGGAAGGAAATCAACAGACTGAGAGTCTGGTTCACTCCCCAAATGGCCGCAGGAGTTTCTTCAGGGTCTCCCACACTGGTGCAGGACCCAAGCACTTGGGCCATCTTCCACTGCTTTCCCAGGCCATAGAAGAGAGCTGGATTGGAAGTGGAGCAGCCGGGACTCAAACTTGTGCCCATATGGAATGCTGGCACTGCAGACGCTGGCTTTACCTGCTAAGCCATAGCACCAGCCTCTCCAAGTGCTGCTGCTGCTGCTTCTTCTTCTTTTTTTTTTTTTTTTTTTTTTTAAGATTTATTTATTTGAAATACAGAGTCACAGAGAGAGGTAGAGACAGAGAGGTCTTCCATCCGCTGGTTCACTCCCCAGATGGCTGCAACGGCTGGAGCTGTGCCGATCTGAAGCCAGGTGCCAGGCGCTTCTCCCTTGTGGGTGCAGGGGCCCAAGGACTTGGACCATCCTCCACTGCTTTCCCAGGCCATAGCAGAGAGCTGGATCAGAAGAAGAGCAGCCGGGACTAGAACTGGTGCCCATATGAGATGCCAGCGCTTCAGGCCAGGGCTTTAACCCGCTGCGCTACAGTGCCGGCCCCCAAGTGCTACTTATAACCTGTCATTTCATCTTCCTGTGCTTTAAATTCTCCATCCACAAGACAGTGTTGGTAGTAGTCACCCATGATTTAAAAGTGCCACCACTTCGATCCATTTCTTTAGTTCCAAGCTAGTTGTGTTGGTGGTGGCCTTGTTTCCAATGCCTTGAGAATTTCTTAAAAATTTTGTGACTTGGAACCAGATTATTGTTTCAGTATTTCAAACAAAGGAAATGACTTCCAGTCTATATGTCTTTTTTTTTTTTTTTTAATTGTTTTATTCATTTTAGAGACAGAGTCACAGAGAGAGAGAGAGGTCTTCTGTCCACTGGTTCACTCCCCAAATGGCCACAACGGCTGGAGCTGGGCCCATCCAAATCCAGGAGCTTCCTCAAGGTCTCCCATGCGGGTGCAGAGCCCAAGTACTTGGGCCATCTTCCACTGCTTTTCCAGGCCATCAGCACAGATGCTAGATCAGAAGTGGGACCATCAGCAGAGATACTAGATCAGAAGTAGAGCAATTGGGACTCGAACAGGCGCCCTTATGGGATGCCAGTGCTACAGGCAGAGGCTTAACTTACTACGCAACAATGCTGGCCCCCATTTTTTGTTTGTTTGTTCTTTTTTTTAAGATTTATTTATTTAAAAGAGTTACAGAGAGAAAGACAGGAGGGAGAGAGATCTTCCACCTGCTGGTTCATTCCCTAAATGGCTGCGACAGTTGGAGTTGGACCAAGCTGAAGCCAGGAGCCCAGAACTCAATCCAGGTCTCCCATGTGAGTGCAAGATTCCAAGGACCTGGGTCATCCTCCACTGCTTTCCCAGGCATATTAACAGAGAGCTGGATCAGAAGTGGAGCAGCCAGGAATCAAACCAGCGTCCATATGGGATGCCAACATCAAGGTGGTAGCTTTACCCATTAGGCCACAACACTGGCCTGCTATTTGTCTTGTTTTTAAAGATTTATTTGAAAGACAGAGATACAGAGAAAGATAGAAGATAGAGAGAGGTCTTCCATCCACTGATTCACTCCCCAAATGGCCACAACCCCCAGCACTGAGCCAATTCAGAATCAGGAGCCAGGAACTTCTTCCAGGTCTCCCTTATAGGTTCAGGGGCTCAAGGACCTGGGCCAACCTTCAGCTGCTCTCCAGGCACATTAGCAGGGAACTGGATGGGAAGTGGAGCAGCCAGGACTGCAACCAGTACCCATTTGGGATGCTGCAGGCCAGGTCTTTAACCTGCTGTGCCACAGCCAGCCCCACCCTCTACTTGTCTTTTAACAGGTGCGACAATATGTTGTACAAGTGATCTTCTCTGTGACTTTCGCGTTTTCCTGCACCATGTTTGAGCTCATCATCTTTGAAATCTTAGGCGTATTGAATAGCAGGTGAGTAAAATTACTGAATAACTCAACTCTTGGAATTCTTTGCTACTTTCTTTATGGTGGAAAAAATTACCTGAATCTCATAGCTGAAAAAATCCACTGTGTGGATACTTTAGTCTTTTATTTGAAAGTCAGAATTACACAGAGAAGAGAAGCAGAGAGAGGTCTTCCATCCGATAGTTCACACCCCAATTGACCACAGTGGCCAGAGCTGTGCCGATCTGAAGCCCGGAGCCAGGAGTTTCTTCCAGGTCTCCAGGCGGGTGCAGGGGCCCAAGGACTTGGGCCATCTTCTACTGCTTTCCCAGGCCATAGCAGAGAGCTGGAAGGGAAGAGGAGCAGCCAGGACTAGAACTGGCGCCCATATGGGATGCTGGCACTTCAGGCCAGGGCGTTAACCCACAGCACCACAGCGCCGGCCCCGATACTTGCCTTAATAATTGCAATGATCACAGCTATGGGTTCCCAGCTACTAGTAACCCTTTTTTGAAAATACTTACGAATGGGGATTATCTATAAAAATAAGTTTGACTGTTTCTATTTACTGATTTCTTGAGGGGGCACTAAGGTGCCCATATCCCATGTCAATATGTAAATAATAAACTTTTTTTTTTAAAGATTATGGTCCAGGAGAACTTACAGAGAAGAACTTACAGAGCATGAGACCAAGAGACTAGGTCCAGGCTTTGCTCTTAGAAACTTTCTTGCCACCAGGTGTTCTCTGAACCCTTGTAATATAGCCCTTCATGTTGTTCTGCTGATTGAAAATCTACCTGAAAGGATTAGAATTCCTCAAACCTCCTTAAGAACCTCTTTAAAGACTGAGTTCAGTCCTTACTTGGTTGTTGATTTTACAGGCTTAGTTGAGTTTGATTGAACTTAAACTACTTTTTAAAACATTTTTTAAAAATAACTCTACTTTTTTCCAAATAATAGACTTGTTCAATAGATGTCTATCCAGAATGTCACTTTACCTGCAGCTCAAAAGACTAGTCAGAACACATGATTCACTTACAATTGGCAACGTGGTTTATACTTGCGGTTACACTTGTCATTTCAAACCCACTGCCTCCCAGTCTCTTAGAATCTTCACTAAAATGGTATTTAGGACCACCATGATAGGCAGGACTGCCATTAGATAGGATGATGTGCAGTTTGTTTGTCTCTAGATGCCTTAACATGGGTTAATCAAACAAGGGAAAAGGCGTCAGTTTATCTAGACTAACTGGTACTGGCCTGTAGTCTTTGCTGAATGATTCTGAATGATGCCTGCTATCTGGATTGAATGAGGGAGGAACAGTAAGAGTATTTTCTTATTTCCTGATAGAACTATGATTTCATCTAACTGATCAAATTTTCTGTTTCACATCAGTCATTAGAAAACATAAAGCTAACTTTACCACCTACTCATAGCATGTTTCCAGGACTCTATTTTGTAATATCCATCAGACTCAAGCCAGTGTTTTACTTACATTTTATCACTGTTGTTCCTTTCTCTCATATTTTCTTATAATTTATTTTGTCATCCTGTATTTTATACTCATAAGCCGTTTAACTGTTTAATGCTTTTTTGAAATAAAGCCTAAGTAAGTTTAAAATAATACTACAAATACAAAGCACACCATTAAGAAAAGTAAACAGACATCCCAGAATGGAAGAAAATGACCTATCTGATAAGGAACTTACATTTAGAATATATAAAGTGCTCACAATTCAGTAAAAAAGATAATGTAATTTTTAAATGTACGAAGGATCTAGGGATTTCTTCAAAGATGATATGCACATGGCCAGTAAGCACATGAAAAGATGCTTGATATCTAACCACCAGAGAAACACAAATCAAAAGCACATATATCCACACCAAAATTTGTACACATATGTTCACAGTTTGCCATTTATAATAGCTAAAATGAGAAACAACCCAAATATCTATCAACTCATGGATAAACAAAATATGACATATCCATGTAACAGGATAAATATTCAGCCACAAAAAAGAGTGAATTATTTATAGATGTTAAAACAAGTAAACCTCACAAACATTATACTAAGTGAAAGAAGCGAGTCATAAAAGACCACATATCACATAATTTCGTGTATATGAAATGTCCAGAATAAGCAAACCCATAGAAGTAGAAAGTATATTGGTGATTTCCTAGAACTAGGGAGGTTGGGGGAAATGAGGACTAACAGGTAATGGGAAGAAAGTTTCTCCTTTTTTAAAAAAAAAAAAAAAAAAGGAGAGGGGCAGAGCTGTGGTGCAGCAGATTAACCCTATGCCTGCAGCTCTGGCATCCCATATGGGCCCTGGTTCTAGTCCTGGCTGCTGCTCTTCTGATCCAGCTCTCTGTTATGGCCTGGGAAAGCAGTGGAAAATGGCCCAAGCGCTTGAGCCCCTACACCCATGTGGGAGACCCAGAAGAAGCTTCTGGCTTCTGGCTTTGGATTGAGCCAGCTCCAGGTGTTGTGGCAATTTGGGGAGTGAACCAGTGGGTAGAAGACATTTCTCTCTGTCTCTCCCTCTCACTGTAACTCTATCTCTCAATAAATAATTAATTAAAAGAAAAAAAGATTTATTTATTTGAAAGTCAGAGTTACACAGAGTAAAGAAGAGACCTACAAAGAGAGAGACCTTCCATCCACTGGTCCACTCCTCAAATGGCCACAATGGCTGGGGTAAGGTCAGGCTGAAACCAGGAATCAGGATCTTCTTCTGGATCTCCCACATGGGTGCAAGGGCCTAAGCACTGTGTCATCTGCTGCTGCTTTCCCAGGTACATTAGCTGGGAGCTGCGCAGGAAGTGGAGCAGCCAGGTCTTGAACCAATACCCATATGGGATGCCGGCATCACAGGTGGTAGCTTTACTCGCCATACCACAGCACTGACCTCAGAAGTTTCTTTATGAGTAATGAAAATGTTCTAAAATTGTGGTAATGGTTGTACAATGCTGTGAATATATTAATAACTATTGTACACTTTAAATGGAGGAATTATATCTGCAAAATGCATAAAAAGCAATGCTAAAAATTTTAATAAAGCAAATTTTATAAACTAATAAAAGTGGTCATGCAAATCAAATGCTTAATTATATTTGAGTCTTTATAGCATATTTTACTGTTAACATTTAGTTTCCTTTATTTCTTATATTAGAATAAGATCCCTAATGGTAAGTGTAACCAATCCATTCTGCCAATAATAAATATGTTGATAAATGTTAGGGTACAAATTGCCTAAGAATATAGCTAAAGCATTAATATAGCTAAAGCATTAATAATTCTTACTTTCTTTTAATTAGTGAAATTCTTAGGTTAAAATTGTTATATATAACTTTTCAGAAATCTTTACAAGTGAGTAGATGCTAATAGTATTGTGCTAATGCACAATTGAATTCATAGAGTAAGAGTCCTTTGGAAGACTAAAGAGGATGAAAGTTGGTTTTCTGTTCCCACTTCCAGTGATACTCTTTAACATTGATTTCAGCTCCCGTTATTTTCACTGGAAAATGAACCTGTGTGTAATTCTGCTGATCCTGGTTTTCATGGTGCCTTTTTACATTGGCTATTTTATCGTGAGCAACATCCGCCTATGTGAGTATTATAGCCTCTCTCTCAGCACGTAAATGGAGATGATTATTCTTGGGGATTGAGATTATGAAGGCCTTCATTTCTATGGTATTCTCAGTGGTTACTGCTATCAGGAACTACCTTACAACATTTTAGAAAGGTCACAAAATAAATGTAGAATTAATGATTTGATTATTTTTCCTACCACAATTTATTTATTTCCACTATAATATTTCTATTAACTCCATATACATCTTAATTTCAACCAAGTTTCTCTTATGGTGTGTTAAGAATGCTTTCACTGAAAACTGTATTGTTCCATCACTCACTTGCCAGATAAACTAGCCAGTTAAATGTTAATTAGCATGCATTCATATTTTTAAGTAGAAAAAGGTCTTTACCATGTATTTATTTTCCCTAACAGTCTTGTCTCCTCTATTGCAGTGCATAAACAGCGACTACTTTTTTCCTGTCTCCTATGGTTGACCTTTATGTATTTCTTCTGGAAACTAGGAGATCCATTTCCCATTCTCAGCCCAAAACATGGTGAGTGTACATTGGAAGTAGGGGAGAGTAGGCACAGAATTTGATTTTCTTTCTTTCTTTTAAGATTTATTTATTTGAGAGGTAGAGTTACAGACAGAGAGGGAGAGACAAAGAGAAAGGTCTTCCATCCACTGGTTCACTCCCCAAATGGCTGAAGCACCCAGAACTTGGTTGATCTGAAGCCAGGATCCAGGAACTTCTTCTGGGTCTCCCACTTGTATGTAGGGGCCCAAACACTTGGGCCATCCTCTGCTGCTTTCCCAGGCCATAGCAAAGAGCTGGATCGGGAGATGAGCAGCTGGGACTTGAATGGGTGCCCATAGGGAATACCAGCACTGCTGGCAGCAGCTTTACCTGATACACCACAGCGCCAGACCCTTGATTTTCTATTTTGAACAAAAAGAATTAATGTTTAAAACTTCTGACTGTTGGAAATATAGCCAAGTTATTTATCAATAAAATTTCTGATTTTGAAACCAAATTCTCTCTTTGACCCTAAGAGATACCAAATGCTGGTTTGGGGACAGACTTCCATCATTCCAGAGTATGGAGTTTTGGACCTTAGTTTAGTGAATAAACTTCAAGAGTTTAAGGGACAGAGAAAGGGGTTCTTAACTTCAATCTCCTGGTATTGTACACAGAATTATGGGACTATATTTGTATGTGTATTTGGAGGTGAGTTTTCAACAAGTTTTTTTTGTTTTTTGTTTTTTTTTGTTTTGTTTTGTTTTTTGGTTTTTGGTTTTTTTTTTTTTTTTTTTTTTTTGACAGGCAGAGTGGACAGTGTGAGAGAGAGACAGAGAGAAAGGTCTTCCTTTTTGCCGTTGGTTCACCCTCCAATGGCCGCCGCTGCAGCCGGCGCACCGCGCTGATCCGATGGCAGGAGCCAGGAGCCAGGTGCTTTTCCTGGTCTCCCATGGGGTGCAGGGCCCAAGCACCTGGGCCATCCTCCACTGCACTCCCTGGCCATAGCAGAGAGCTGGCCTGGAAGCGGGGCAACCGGGACAGAATCTGGCGCCCTGACCGGGACTAGAACCCGGTGTGCCGGCGCCGCAAGGCGGAGGATTAGCCTATTGAGCCACGGCGCCGGCTTGTTTTTTGGTTTTTTAAGATTTATTTTATTTATTTGAAAGTTACACAGAGAAGGAAAGGCGGAGGGGTGGGGTCTTCCATCTGCTGGTTCACTCCCCACTTGGCCACAATGGCCAGAGCTGGGCTGATCTGAAGCCAGGAGCTAAGAGCCTCCCCCCCCAGGTCTCCCATGCAAGTGCAGGGGCCCAAGGACTTGGGCCATCCTCTACCACCTTCCCAGGCCATAGCAGAGAGCTGGATCAGAAGTAGAGCAACTGGGACTCGAACTGACACCCACATGGGATGCCGGCACTGCAAGGTGGCGGCTTTACCTGCTATGCCACAGCGCCAGCCCCTCAAGTTTTTATCAGATTCCCAAAGGAGTCTGTGACCACTACTTATGTGATGATAAAAGTTCTCTTTAGGTAGTATATATGTATTTTGGGAAAAGAGTTGATATTAAAACCTTTACAATTAGTGTATTAAGAAAAGCTTTCCAAAAGTCAGTGTCTTTTCTCTGAAGAATAAATTCATTTATTGCAAGAAGTTGGGCAGAGCCCTAATCTCTATGCAGCCAGGCCAAGCCAGAGGGAATGTGAAGACGTCTATTGTATCTTTCATCCATCTTTTTTTCCAAATGTATACAGATATTGGTCTTCCTTTACCGTTGGTTCACTCTCCAATGGCCGCTGCGGCCAGCGCACCACGCTGATCCAAAGCCAGGAGCCAGGTGCTTCTCCTGGTCTCCCATGCGGGTGCAGGGCCCAAGCACTTAGACCATCCTCCACTGCCCTCCCAGGCCACAGCAGAGAGCTGGCCTGGAAGAGGGAAAACCGGGACAGAATCTGGCGCCCCGACTGGGACTAGAACCCCGGTGTGCCGGCACTGCAGGCGGAGGATTAGCCTATTGAGCCGTGGCACCGGCCCTATACAGGTATTTTTAAAAGAACTTTGAACTAGAAAAGCTAGGGAGATATTTTCAATTTTAGTCTTTTCTTCATGCTTCAATAAATAGGCATTTGAGTTTTATGCCTGAATGTTGAGATGTCTTAATTTAATTAGCCCTCTCAGAGAAATGAGAAGGAGGAAAGTTTAGGCAGTAACTGAGAAGTAGCCCGATTTAGACTGCCTTCTTGGCCAGGACTTTCCCAGTAACTTATATGGTTTATTAATATCTGTGAAGACCTCAAAAACTGTAAGACCTCATCCTTACCTGTACTGAAAAAAATTATTAAAATATTCCTGCAATGCTTGAGTCTCAGGAGGCTGGAAGACATTCTCTGGTGGGCAGGAGTAAGAGAGCCTTAAGAAAAGACATCAAAGGGGCTAGATGGAGCCTGTGTGAGCAGTGGCAATGGGGAGCTGGCCTGCGAGTTGCCTGTTCATCTGGCTTACCATTTATCAACTGGTAAACAAGCTTGGAAGTGACCAACTCTTTCTTCATAGAAATGCTTGGATTAGGCAGATACTTTCTTGAAGAAAGTCATTTAATGAAAGGGCACCAGGTTAAAGGGAATGAAAATAAAGGGGTTTGGGGTTTTTTTCTGTGCTTTTTTTGTTTTCAGAAACCTGTACAATGGGCATTTCAAAGAGTTTATGGAAAATTGGATTAAAGATAAGATTATTTTGGTGCAAAAAATTTGTAATCCATACACAATTTTTTCATAGTATGCATTTTCTATGAGCTTTTTGAAAACCTCTCTCATTAATCTGTTTTGTTTTCAAGAGATACATGGAAAGTAGAATCAACATAATCCGGATGAGGATTTATTCATTCACTTAGCATTCTGCAAGTATTTACTGAGTATCTTTAGTTGCTAGAGACAGACCAAAAATAAGATAAACTTGGTTTCTACACTCCTGAAACTTTGTTGTGGGGCCCTGCGCTGTGGCTCAGCAGGTTAAGGCCCAGGCTGCGGCACCAGCTTCCCATGTTGGCACTGCTTCTGATCCAGCTCCGTGCTGATGTACCTGAGAAGGCAGCGGAGGGTGGCCCAAGTGCTTGGGTCCCTGCATCCACACTGGGGACCCAGAGGAGGCTCCTGGCTTCAGCCTGACTCAGTCCTAGCTGTTGGCAGCCATTTGGGGAGTGAACTGGCAGAAGGAAGATCTCTGTCTGTCTCTGTGACTCTGCCTTTCAAATAAATAATAAATCTTAAAAGAAAAAAAATAACTGTTTTGAGTGAGACTAAGCAATAAAGAGGTAAATATTCTAAGTAATTGCCATTAATAATCATTGTTGTCAAGAAGTGAACAGGTTGTTGTAATAGAGAATGCTGCACAAGAAGGATATCAGATTTAGTGCAGGTGATTAGAATTAGAACCTTTGTGAGGGAGTTATAAATCTCACTTTTAAAAACCTGAAATTTAAGGATAGACCAAAAACACAGCAAGACGGTACAAGAAGACTGCACACAAAGCCCTGAGGTAGAAAGACCTTCGTATATTCAAGGGGAGGGAGGTTACGATGGAGAATAGTTCTAGAGTTTTTGTTTTTTTACTTTGATGTCCAGATAGTTTATGATGCCATTTTCTAAGATAGGTAATGCAGAGGAAGGAACAAGTTGAGAAGGAAGATAATTTCAGTTTGGGATTTGTTGAATTTGAGTTGCCTGTGCACATCCAGGTGAAATTCAACAAGCAATTGGATACACAAGGCAAGTGCTTAGGAAAAAGGTATGGATGCATCAACCCTTGGGGATGTGACTCCAGGAATCTGAAAAATTATCAACCAGATGCTACTAGATGACACTGGGGGAATGGGTGTAATTGCCCAAGGGACAATATACAAACTGAAATAAAAGAGACAATTCTTGCCTGTGGAGTGCAAGAAGATACCAAGAAAAAGTAACAAGAGAAATTAAAGGAAAAATGGTAATGTGGATGCCAAGAAGGGAAAGTGTTTTCAAACAGGAAAAATTCAGTGTCATGAAAGAACCAATGAAATAATGACTGGAGGGTCCAGCATTGTGGCACAGCAGGTTAAGCTGCCACCTGCAATGTCAGCATCCTATATGAGCACCAGTTCAAGTCCCAGCTGTTCTGTCTCTAATCCAGCTCCCTGCTAATGCACCTGGGAAAGCAGCAGAAGATAGCCAATTACTTGGGCTCCTGCCACCCACTGCATGAGACCCAGATGGAGTACTAGGCTCCTGGCTTCAATCTGGCTAGTCCCAACTGTTGTGTCCATTTGAGGAGTGAAACAACAGATAGGTCTTTCTATCTGTCCCTCCCTCTCCCTCTCCCTCTCCCTCCCCCTCCCCCCCTCCCTCCCTCTCTCTCTCTCTCTCTCTCTCTTCCTTTCAAATAAATAATTTTTAAAAAATGATGATTGGAAAATGTCGTTGAATTTTGTAACCAGGATAAAATTGATAACCCTAGTGCAGTAATAGTTAAGGGCACTGTGGAGCTATGCTGGACTTGAACTCTGACTCTTCCACTTATCAGTTGTGTTTCCTTGATTTAAGTTATTTAACCTGTCTGTTTCCTCATCTGTACAATTCAGTTTTCAATAATGGCTGTCTCATTGTGGTGGTATGAGGATTAGATGAGTTAGTACAAATAAAATGCTTAGAATGGTGCCTGTAACATAGTAGATGCTTGATGAATGTTACCTATTATATTACCATTACAATTAGAGCAATTTCATCCAGTGTCAAAGGATGAAAGGAAAGCTGGATTGCAACCAATTGAGGGATAAACTGGAGGTGAGGAAGAGGTGACAGTAAGTGTAGGTTTCCTTTTTTTTTTTTTTAAGGATTTATTTATTTATTTGAAAGAGTTACATAGAGAAGAGGCAGAGAGAAAGAGGCCTTCCATCTGTAGGTTCACTCCCCAACTGGCCGCCACGGCTGGAGCTGTGCCGATCCAAAGCCAGGATCATCTTCTGGGTCTCCCACGTGGGTGGGCGGCTTCTTTCAAGAAGCTTGACTATTAATGGGGAAGTAGATAGAGATTGATAACCAAAGGTAAATTCAAAACCAAGAGCAGACTTTTTCTTTGGGAAAGAGATTTAAAGCTGAAGGGAAAGAACTAGCAAAAAAGATTGAAAACAGGAGAGAGAGGCAAATGATGGAACAACAGTCTGGAGAAGGTAGAGGGAATTGAATAGGACCCACAGCACAAATAGACAAGTCCTAACTTTGGACACCATCTTGTTCTGAAGGAGACAAATTGGGAGGACGGGGGCCGGCTCTATGGTATAGTCGGTAAAGCCGCCACCTGCAGTGCCAGCATCCCATATGGGCTTCCGTTCATGTCTTGGCTGCTCCACTTCTAATCCAGCTCTCCGCTATGGCCTGGGAAAGTAGTAGAAGATGGCCCAAATGCTTGGGCAGCCCCTGCACCCACATGGGAGGTCTGGAAGAAGCTCCTGGCTCCTGGCTTCGGATCAGCACAGCTCTGGCCATTTGCAACCAATTGGGGAGTGAACCAGCAGGTGGAAGACCTCTCTCTCTCTGCCTCTCCTCTCCCTCTGTAACTCTGTCTTTCAAATAAATCTTTTTTCATAAATATTTATTTTATTTATATGAAAGAGTAACAGAGAGAGGTAGAGACAGAGAGGTCTTCCATCTTCTGGTTCACTCCCCAGATGGCCACACAGCTGGAGCTGAGCTGATCAGAAACCAAGAGCCAGGAGCTTCTGGGTCTCCCACATGGGTGCATGGGCCCAAGGATTTGAGCCATCTTCTACTGCATTCCCAAGCCATACCAGAGAGCTGTATCGGAAGAGGAGCAGCTGGGACTAGCTGCCCATATGGGATACTGGCACTTCAGGCCAGGGTTTTAATACGTTGAGCCACAGCGCCGGCCCCAATAAATAAATCTTAAAAAAAAAAAAAATTAGGAGGATGATTGCAGATGTATATATTTATACTAGAGTGAAGATAGTTTGTGGCTGCCTTTTTTTTTTTTTTTTTTTTTTTTTTTTTTTTTTTTTTGACAGGCAGAGTGGACAGTGAGAGAGACAGAGAGAAAGGTCTTCCTTTGCCGTTGGGTCACCCTCCAATGGGCGCTGCGGGCCGGGGCACCCCGCTGATCCGATGGCAGGGAGCCAGGAGCCAGGGTGCTTCTCCTGGTCTCCCATGGGGTGCAGGGCCCAAGCACCTGGGCCATCCTCCACTGCACTCCCGGGCCACAGCAGTGGGCTGGCCTGGAAGAGGGGCAACCGGGACAGAATCCGGCGCCCCGACCGGGACTAGAACCCGGTGTGCCGGCGCCGCAAGGCGGAGGATTAGCCTAGTGAGCCGCGGCGCTGGCCCGTGTCTGCCTTTTTTTAAAAAAATATTTATTTATTTGAAAGAGTTACAGAGAGAGAGAACAAGGTCTTCCATCTGCTGGTTCACTTCCCAGATGGCTGCAACGGCCCAAGCTGTAACAGTCTAAAGCCAGGAGCTAAGTGCTTCTTCCCAGTCTTCCACACAGGTGCAGGGGCCTAAGGACTTGGGCCAGTTTCTACTGCTTTCCCAGGCCATAGCAGAGAGCTGGATCAGTAGTGGAGCAGCTGGGATTCGAACCAGCGCCATATGGGATGCCAGCACTGCAGGCAGTGGCTTTACCCACTACACCACAGTGTCGGCCCCTATGTCTTTCTTAGTAAGGCATTGGCTAAGGAGATGGATAAAGGTGGATTAAATGAATTTAAGAGTAGGTGCTGAGGAGAATAGAGAGAGATGGCTGCCAGGAACCAGGTAAGGTTTATTCAGTGTTGGGTGAGCTCTGTTGATACTGTAGACCATAAATCTGTGATGCACCGATATCAGAATGTGTTCTAGCAATTTTAGATAACTTGGGCATGGGCAAAGGGTTAGGGGTTTGTAGGATCAGTGCCTCAGCAAGAGGAGAGTAGGGGATTGAGGGTCCTGCTGAGAGAGGTTGAAGCAAGTAAGCTTAGGGCCCAAGCTAGGTGAAGGAGGGGAGGAAGCAAAAGACTACAGGCCAGAGAGGGCACTGAACTCTACAATGCGTGTAGTGGAAATAAAAGAACAAGAGACCTTGAAGACTAGAAGCAGAGGGCAGTGATCAGAAATGGAACATTGGAATTTTCATTTCAAAGCTGACAGAATTCACTAACCGCAGCTGAATGCATTTGGACCTTGGGAGTGAATGGCTGAAGTGAATTCTGTCCTGGTAATAGGAAGTGAAAACAAACTAAAATTAATTTTTTCTGTGGTACCAAACTTCCTGAGTTATTCTTCAGCAATCCTTTCTCATTCCAAATATATCACCCAGGAGCATTTATTTTGACTCTTCAGTTAATTTTTAGCATTCTCAAATGATAGCAATTGAAAAGTAGAATACAACTGATAATCTGAAACTATTTTTCTTTGAATTGTTCATTCATCTGTAAATTCAGCCTGTTTATTATATGTATAATGTGTTTATTGAATGAAAAAAGGGATAAGATATAATCTTAAAAGTATGGCAACAGGGAAATACATGTATCAAAGGTAACTAGCATAGTGCTATCTGCTATTGATGCCTTCCTAAAACATTTAATTTCCTCACTTTATTTACCAAAACTTTTAATAAAAATATTTTATTTTTTATTTACAGTTTTTTTTTAACTATTATCATCACCCAATAAAAGAGATGACACAAGTCCTATGGGATAGGAAGATAATCAGTAGAGTTTTATAGACTTATAGATTCCAAATTAATAACTAAAATTTGGCTAAGTTAAGGTATATGTAATGGTTGATGTTTTCAGTCTTTCCCTTTGCTGTACGGATGAGAGCCGTTTTATCTGTATTACCTGGCATTAATGTTCTTTGATGTTTTTAGGGATCTTATCCATAGAACAGCTCATCAGCCGGGTTGGTGTGATCGGAGTGACTCTCATGGCTCTGCTGTCTGGATTTGGTGCTGTCAACTGCCCGTATACTTACATGTCCTACTTCCTCAGGTAATGAACACTTTGTTCCTTTTCCTCACTCTTGACTATATGTATGTCATATCACACACACATCTTTAATATTTACTTACATATTTGTTTCTTCTCTGTCCCTATGGCTGTTCACCTAGGAATCTCTATAAATGTCTTATCTATTTGTCACTTCCATTACTTCTCCTTGTTATTTGTCCTACTTTTTTTTCTAAGAGAGATCTTCCATCTACTGGTCTACTCCCCAAAATGCGTGCAAGTGCCAGGAATGGGCCTGACCAAAACTGGGAAACAGAAACTCAGTCCAAGTCTCCCAGTGGGTGGCAGGAACCCAATTACTTGAGCCTTTATTGCTGCTTTGTAGGATTTGCATTAGCAAGAAGGCTGGGGTTAGGAGCTGGCAACAGGTGTTGAACCCAGATACTCCAATATGGAATTTAGGCATCTTAATGGTCAGGCTAAATGCCAGTCCTCATTGAAATGGCAACACCACAAGCATACTTTTTCAAGGCACATTTTTAGTGGATGGCATTATGTATTACTCCCAACTTCAGTAAATCTGTTCCTTGTAGAAGCAGAATGAAAGAATACTGGTGTGATGGCGTAGCAGGTAAAGCCACCACAAGGAAGGAAGGAAGGGAGAGAGGGGAAGGAAGGAATGAAAGAAAGAAACAAGGAAAGAAAGAAAGAAATCTTTTTTTAAAAAAGTGCTAGGGCCGGCACTTTGGTATAGCGGGTAAAGCTGCTGCCTGCAGTGCCAACATCCCGTATGTGCACCAGTTCGAGTCCCAGCTGCTCCACTTCCAATCCAGCTCTCTGCTGTGGCCTGGGAAAGCAGTAGAAGATGGCCCAAACCCTTGGGCCCCTGCACCTGCATGGGAGACCTGGAAGAAGCTCCTGGCTTTGGATCGGTGCAGCTCTGGCTGTTGCAGCCACCTGGAGAGTGAACCAGCAGATGGAAGACCACTCTCTCTCTTTCTCTGTCTCTCCTTCTCTCTCTCTGTAACTCTGACTTTCAAGTAAATAAATAAATCTTATTTAAAAAGAAGAGTGCTTTAACATATATCCTAAATGTTACTAAATCAAGGCTAAGAAAGACTGTAAGAGAGCTATATACTTGCCACTGCCCTGAGATCTTACAAAAATTTTAGCAACAAAATTGTTCTAGTTTAGTATAATAACTTTAATATTTTCTAGAAAAAGACAGGTCCTTAAATTACCAGGGAACAAGTGAAGTGTATATGTTTTTTCAGATGCTTTGTATTATACCCAAGGATGGAATCTCAAAGCATTAACAGTTTATACTTCTTGTAGGAATGTGACTGACACAGATATTCTAGCCCTGGAGCGACGACTGCTCCAAACCATGGATATGATCATAAGCAAAAAGAAAAGGTAAGCCCTGCACATGAAAAAACTTGGACTGTTAGAAATTCTTAACAAGAAAATTCAGCTATGAATTGATGCTCTCAGAAAATTTCTTAGGTAAAGTACCATTGAAGATTCAGTGTCTAGACTTCTGGAATTCAACCTTATTTCCTGAACTTAAATATTAAAGTTAACAATTTAAATTGTTAGAATAGCTTTTACATTTGGAAGATGAATATTTTAAGTCTATTGTCCTACAGTTTCGCAAATTTTTTCATGCTTGTCTTAGATCTTTTCAACTTCTTTTCTCCAACTACTCAAAACATTTCAATTCTTTTAATAGTCATTTCAGTATTTAGAAGTATTTTTTAAATGTACGTTTTCAAGATGGCATTTCATATAATTGTATCACAGTGGATGAAAGCATAGGCTCTGAAATCAGAGTATCTGAATTTGAATCATTGGTATGTACCTTGCAATGTGACCTTGAACTAGACACTTTATGCATCTGCTTTGGTTTCCTCGTCTGTGAAGTAAAGATAATAATGTTATAGTCCTTAGAATGGTGAACCCACACTTAGTGAAGTATAACTACTGAATTTATTAATGATCTTTGCAGGACAGTCATTTGTTTTTCATCTTTTACCTTTTTATTCATTCATTTAAAAATTTTAGAAAACCTAATTTATGCCAGGCCCTGTTACTAGATGCTGGTGACAGAATGATGAATAAGATAATTATTTCTTACCTTCATGAAGGTAAGAATTAGTCTGAATCTTCGACAAAATTATGATTACACATATGTAAATAGTAACATAAAGATTTTGAATTGTACAAGTATTTCCCTATTTCTCTGTCTTTACTGGGGTATCAAAGGTAGCCACACAATAAATATACATTTGTCTTATCTACATTCATTATAGATGGTTTATTTTGAATGTATAAAAATGCAGATTTTTAAAAATATAACTAGAGCAGCATTATTCATGAGAGAGAATTATTTGGGAGCAGTACCATTTTGATTCCTAAGGTTATTCTCCCTTGTACTTTATTCCTTTTACTTATATAAAGAGATGAATATATAAAAATGCCATCATGACCCATGTCAAGTGTGGATATATAGTTTAAGCTACTTCATACTAGTTGTGATTGGGAATTGGCTCTGACCTATAAACACTATAGCCCAGTTCCCCTGTAAGACTCTGTTGGAGCTGATGTTGTGGTGTAGCAGGCTTAGCCACCACCTGCAACTCCACCATCCCATAAGGACACCAGTTTGAGTCCAGCTGCTCCACTTCTGATTCAGCTTTTTGCTAATGCATCCGGGAAAACGGTGAAAGATGGCCCAAGTCCCTGGGCCCCTGAACCCATGTATGAGATCTCCATGAAGCTTCTGACTCCTGGCTTCTGCCTAGCTTAGACCCAATCCTGGCTGATGTGGCCATTTGGGGAGTGAACCAGCAGATGGAAGATTCTCTCTCTCACACACTTTTCCTCTGTCTCTATAACTCTGACTTTCAAATAAGAATAAATAAATCTTTCAAAACAAACAAAAAAAAAGACCCTGTCTAGTCAGGTCAGAGATGGTTTTTGGTTGTATAATAGGTCTTATTAATTTGAGTGGCCCTCAGAAGTATTGTGAGGAGATAGATAAACTAATAGGCAGTTAGGTCAGGGCCCTGTTGGAATGAGAAAAGGAGAGTCCCTTTAAGAGTAGACAAGATGTATGCTGCCATTAGTAAGACAGAAGTGCCCATCCCAACCTTCTGAATTTCTGGTTTTAAAATGAGAATAGAAAAAAGTTACCTATCCTACCTTTCTGATGGCTTTTTTGTTTTACCATGAGCAGGGTATGCAGGATTATAATTCCTGCCTCTGATGGGTTTTATCCCCACCCTTTGATTGTTCTCCAAATTGTGTTCCCCAATTTCTGGGGTCTTCCTCTCTTGGAACCCCCCTACTGGCTACTGTGGCAGGAGATTTCTGGCTTCAGTAAATCTTGCTTTGTTCATTGTCTTGTCCGCATGGAAATTCTACGTGAGGCAGGAACCGAGGGTCACCATTTTACTTGTAACTGCTTGGCGCTGTGACTCAGATCCAGTTCAAATTTGACTCTAGCCAATGTTGGATCACCTCGCCGGATGGGTGAGAATGCAGCCTGCTCTTGCTTCTGTCTCTCGGAGAGCCTCATTCTCCGTAGTAATTCTCACTCAAGAACACTGGGTCCCTGACAGCCAGTTAAAAGCAGTTAACACAGCTGCCAGACTTAAGACTCACGGGTTAGACTTCCTGATGAGGTTGAAACAATCCCCTGGAGCTGAGACGGTTCTAACCTCTCTAGTGTGGATGGCCCTTAGCAAGGGATGGGAAAAGGCCCTAAGATGACTGTAAAATTTTGGCTAGGGCACACCCCAGTGTTTTCCAAAAATTTCTTGGCTGGACCCCAGTCCTCAACCTGCCCACATGGGCACTGGACTGTGAAGTGCACTTTGCAGGAAACAGCACCACTGAGATATGGCACAGTTTGGAGTGAGGCCATGGGCTCCGTGCCCCAGTGACTCCATGCTTTACCTCAGACTCCAGTGCTTGTTACCCACCTTTCTGGAGTTCTCATGAACGTTGAAGGCTCCACCCTTCGTTACTTCTCGTCTCAGCTCTGGGAATGTTGGCCCTGTCCAACTTAGTTTCCTTTCGTGGGGATTGGCATATCATGTATGCCTGGGAGAAGGTCTTGGAGTAACTTCCAAATTCAGGCCAGGGCCACTCTGGTTCTTTTCAAAGGCTCCTTGACTAGACACCAGACTCCATCAGCCTGTTAGTGTGTTGGGCCGAAAACTGCATTCTCCTCTTCCTTCTTTGGGGATCAATTTGTCAGTGAGACTGGGTGCAGTTTGGAGTGAGGCCATGGGCTCCAGGCTCCTTGCCTCAAGAATCTTTTCTTTATCCCTGACCCTGACAAGATCTTTGTCTCTTTCTCTGCTTGTCATGCTCTAAATGCTCTCCTTACCTCACTAAATCTCCTTAATTCCTATAAACCTGAGTTTTTCTGGTCCCATTAGCTAGTATTTCCTAGATATCTCCTTAGTTCTGGATCAGGGTTTAATTATCTCTTGCAGATAGACAGCTTTTCCATCTAGACTTTGCATCGAGTATAGATCCCCGCATGACCTGAACTTGTGGAAACAGGTCCTCTAGCATGTCTGTGGTATCCCCTACCTTCCTTCTCAGGTCTCCCTCTTTTGGGTCCCCTCTGTTGGGTCCCTCCTTTAAAGCCCATACCTCAGAGGAAGCTAACTGGGGAGGATTTTTATTCCCCCACAATGTTTCTTTATCCCTTCACCTGCCTAGTCACCAGCCTAAGTGGTAGCCAGGACTGGTACCCTCTCTCCAAACTCTAGCTCAAAACACCTTTGCTAAGGCTATTGTGAAGGTTCATTATGGAAATCAAACCCATTGGATAGGACTCAAGGTTAAGAGGCATAGAACAGCTGTGTTTCTTCATATAAGAGAGCAAAGTGATGGTATATATTTGACCAAACAAGATGCTCAGTTCTGAGTTTCTCAGGCATGGAAAGCCAAGACACTGTGGCAAAAAAATGACCAAATTGAAAGATCTCTGTGAGTGAGATCCTAGTGGAAAGAATGGGCCATCAAGGAAGGAGGTACCTTTCTCTGAAGGGAGAAGAGAACTTCCACTTTGATTATGGCCTTGTCTAAATAAGGTCAGAGCTTGTGAACTCAAGAGGCTTCCATAGCCTTGGCAGCTCATTACAAGAGCCTTGGGGGATTACTGACATCATAAATAAGAGTGTCAGTTGTTAAATCAACAACAGGAGTCACTGTGCACTTACTCCCCATGTAGGATCTCTGTCCTTAATGTGTTGTACTATGCAAATTAATGGTAAAAATAGTCTTCAAACAGTACTTTGTGTGTCTGTGTGGGTGCAATCTGTTGAAATCTTTACTTAGTATATACTAAGTTGATCTTCTGTATATAAAGATAATAAAAATGAATCCTAATGAAGAATGGGATGGGAGAGGGAGTGGGAGATGGCATGGTTTGCGGGTGGGAGGGTGGTTATGGGAGGAAAAGCCTCTATAATCCAAAAGTTACTTTCGAAATTTATATTTATTAAATAAAAGTTTTTAATAATAAAAAAAGATGATCAGTTCCAGTAGAGAACTAATCATTCTGTGTATGCTGTGCTGAAAAATATATGACAAATACATATCCTGGGTCACAGGCATGGTAGGCTGAGTGAGCTTGAGTAATAGTGCTAATCCCACCCTCACCTTCCTCCCTTCCTCGTGGGCTTCAGTGCATGTCTGGATGCCACAGGCAGTGAGAGTTTTGAGAATTGTCTCAAACTTGGCTGGCGCCGCGGCTCACTAGGCTAATCCTCCACCTAGCGGCGCCGGCACACCGGGTTCTAGTCCCGGTTGGGGCACCGGATTCTGTCCCGGTTGCCCCTCTTCCAGGCCAGCCCTCTGCTGTGGCCAGGGAGTGCAGTGGAGGATGGCCCAGGTGCTTGGGCCCTGCACCCCATGGAAGACCAGGAAAAGCACCTGGCTCCTGGCTCCTGCCATCGGATCAGCGCGGTGCACTGGCTGCAGCGCGCCGGCCACGGCGGCCATTGGAGGGTGAACCAACGGCAAAGGAAGACCTTTCTCTCTGTCTCTCTCTCTCACTGTCCACTCTGCCTGTCAAAAAAAATAAATAAATAAATAAAAAATAAATAAAAATAAAAAAAAACATTGGGGGGCATAATTAAAAAAAAAAAAGAATTGTCTCAAACTCAAGAGAGATAAGAACTGAGGGATGCTTCTGCATTTATCTTCTCATTCTAGCTGGGAAGCAAACCATCTACATTAGGCATTCTTTTGGGATGCATCCTTAGACTTTAAGATTCTTTTGACCCCAGAGCTTAAAGAAAAAATGCCTGATCTTTTTCTGCACTGCTACCTGGCCTGGTTACAAACTAGAGGATGAAGAAGGTTAGCCTGAGTGGGTTTAGGTTCCTTACGTC